TGGTGCTTTTTGGAAATGTACTCAATGGTATCAAAGGTAACTTGATGGCATTGATCTCACCTTGAGTCAATTGGCTGTGGGCTCAAGTTCCACTCTAAAGACTGAAGCACAAAAACCTATCCAACCTCTCCTTATAACTCAAGCCCTCCAGTCTCAGTAACATCCTTGTGAATCTTTTTTGCACCCTTTCCAATTCTTGTCAGGGGTAGTCACTGCTCAGCATTCCTGCAAAAACTATCCTAATAGAACATTTTAGTGATACGATATCATGCTTGTTTCAGGTATCAATTCAGTACATCTCCTCTGAATCACCTCTAACATGAACAGGCTTAACATTGTGCAATTATCAGTGAGAATGCTCACTTCTGACCTGTTGGTGGAGGGAAGGTCATTGACGACGTAGCTAAGGATGGTGGGGTCTGGAACATTGTCTCTGTAAGAGCAGCTGGATTGATGCTCAGGGACCACGTTTATTGGCCTCTAAAAACCACAACCATGTTCCAAAGTAATAGGTAACAACCAGTGGAGAATGTACACATCATAAGTAATTCATTGGTTGCAAAATGCCTTATGATGTCTAAGGTAATGAACACCCCTACACAAATCAATTCTCTACGCAAAGTACGATATGGCTGGTCTAGGTGGTGATCCCTTTCTTGATAGAAAGGTCAGTGTAAACGACTAGAGAAACATTGAAACATTTTACACTTAACCACCTTGCCTGGAAGAGGAAAAGTAAATTTGAAATTTTAGTGCTTGGTTTAAGAGCTGTCTGAACAACAGAAAAGTCACGCAAAACACTGAATTCCAGAACCTCATGATAATTTTCTAATTGTTTCTCTTTATTTCTAACATTAGCTTTTAAAGTATTTTCTCCAACAACCTTTGTTACATCTTTATTATTAAAAAAGGATATTTTCTTTTGACCCTTTTGTCGCAGGTGAAGGATGGGTAACACTCTTCCAAATTTACTCACAATCCAGTCCTGAGGGATTAAAAAAAAGTACTTGATTTATTACAAAAATACGATAACATTTAATAGCACATTTTTTTTTGTGGCAGCTCCCCAATATATAATTTACACTATGTGCTTCAGAAATACAGCATTAGTCATTCACAATGCATAGTGTGCACAGAAATAGAGAAATGATGGCATGCTTTTAAAATTTAATTCTTAGATCTCATCTCAAGTATTGTATCCAACCATTGCTACCGCATTTCAACGAGGTTGCCAAGGACTTAGGGAGATGTCAGAGATTTACCAGAATGGTACCAAAGTCAAGGGGCGCTAGTCCTAATGTAGACTAAAACAACTGTAATTGCTGGGAAGCTTCAATATCACCTTTCTTTGGGGCATCCAAGAATGGAGCTGCTGACAACTTCCATATCTGAAGAGTAAAAACAAATCAATAGGCCACTTGAAAGATGTGATGCACAAACACTAAAGTTCTCTTTGGACCATCTCCAATTTTGGCCAGCGCTGCACAAAGAAAACAAGCATGTGCAAATAACAAACAGTGGAGGGAACAGCCACAGATGAAACTGATCCTTAACAGAGTACTGAATTACAGAAGAGTTAAAAGAAATGGGTATTCATTAGCTTTGAAATGACTGCTGAAAGTCCTCAAAGTAATATAAAAATAGTACAAAGCAAAGTAACTCCTCCAGAATGCACCTATATCTTCAATTTTACATTATTTCCTTAATTTATCTTGCATCAGGGTCCAACCAGCAAAGGAAAATGCAGGATCACTGTCAACAAATTTTTCAGATCGTGATCAAATATTGGAATGTGTTTCCAAGTTGGGTAGTGGGAGTGGAAACTCTTGGAACCATTTAAGAAGTAGACTGAAGCTGTGTTGGGCAAACTGTAGGTAAGGTGAGGTCAATACTTTTTAAATGCTTCTTATTATGACATTACTCCATCACTATTTTGCATGTATTTCAATTGGGGCAAGAAAAATTAAGAAATTAACTGATGCAAAATTGAGTATCACATTAAGACAATTTGAGAAAGTTATCACCTGCCTTATGCTCAGGTACTTCTGTTCCTGGTACAGCAGACCTGATGTTGAAGTTTTCAACACCAGCTTTCTTCAGCGACTCTAGCACTTTCTTGATGCTGCTAACTTGTGGTTTGAACTGATTTTTAGCTGCAACCTGTCGCTCTTGAGCAAGCCTACAGAATGTATGCAGAAGTGAGTTTTGATGCAAAACTTGCAATTTTAAAAAAAAATGCCCAACTCTTGATATGATCCTGAAATACCTGTGATGTGGAGGTGCCAGCTTTGGACTGGGGTGGACAAAGTCAGAAGTCACACAGCACCAGGCTGTGGTCTAACAGGTTAATTTGAAGTCACAAGGTTTTGGAGCACTAATCCTTCACCTAATGAAGGAGCGGCGCTTCAAAAGCTTGTGATTTTAAATAAATCTGTTGGACTATAACCTGGTGTCATGTGATTTCTAACTGAAATACCTAGTAGTAGACTTGCAGAATTATATAACACAGAAGGTGGCCACCATGCCTGTTGCTCTTTGGAAGAACTAGTGCCACATCTTTGCACTTTCCACACAGACAAAATTTTGCAGGGTTTTCATGTATTCAACCCATTCCTTTTTGAATATTGCTGTTGATTACTCTCTGAATGGTTGCTCGAAGCAATGAGCTACATATGTTTTACCGCTCAGGTTACCTCTTTTTTGCCAACTATCATAAATGTCTGTCCTCCATTTACCAAGCTTACTGCCAGTGAACACAATTTATCCATATTGATTCAATCACCTCCGTGGTTTTAAACACCATTATCAATTCTCAAAGTTCCAGAAATCCAAAGTTGTTCCTCCTACACCATCTCTCCAACCATGCATTCATCTCCTCTAGTCTCTTATTTCTATACTCATAAGCACATGGCATCAAGAATGATCCAGAGATCTTTGATATCTTGCTTAGTAGTTTTCTTCCCAGCTCCCAAAATCTATCTACAGGACATTATTTTTCTTTCTACCTATGTCAAGGTACTAGCATAGATGATGATCTCAAAATGCTTATCCACCTTACTCAGAATGCTCTGGAAACGTAGTGATATCCTTGATAATGGGACCAAGGAAGCAACCTACCATCCTGGATTCACATCTGTGGTTACAAAAACGTTCCCCAAACTAGGTCTGTTCTTCTAACTATGAAATTCCTCATCACAACTGATTTTCCAATATTCCTCCTGCTTCTCAGTATATGTACACCATCCACAATGCCATTGATCTGGTTCTGGTTGCAATCTCTGATGAATCACTAATCGAACCAATATAGAGAACTGAATATCAATCACTGACAAAGATGTACTCAACAGACTTCATGTCTGGTCCTCCTTGACCATCTGGAGATCAAATATTTCCTATCTGTCTGCACACTATTAAACAGGAAGCAAACCTTCTGAAATGTGCTGTCCACACAGCTCTCAGTGTGTAGGTGCACTTTAGTGATGCCAGCAGCTGCTCAAGTTCCGAAATCCCAAAACCCGAGTGTTCAACTGTTATCACTTGCTGCACACGTAAATTCCCCAGGACACAAGAAGAATTCAACACAAAACTATAGCTGGGATTTTGCATGACTCCGTCATTTTTGTACGCTTTGCCTCTATTTACAAAGGCAAGAATCCTGAATGCTTTTTCAACATCTTGACTTGCAAACTTCAAAGATTCGTGTACATAGATCCCTCAAATCAATCTCTCTGTTACTGCAATTTAGTTTACAGTCTCTCCTCATTCTTGCTACCAAAATGTATCACTCAAGATTTCTCAGTATTACATTTCATGCGCCATCTATCTGGCTACATCACCAATCTGCTCACGTCCTCCTGTAGACTATTACTACACACTTCACTGAATACCACATTTCAAGCTTTATGCTACCAGTAAATTTTGAAATTATGACCAGGCATACCCAAATCCAAGAGGTTAATATGTACAAAAAGTGCAATGGTCCCAATATTGACCTGGCTATATCTGCTTCCAGAAACACAACGATCCAACATTATTTATTCTTCAGTCAATTCTGTATCCATTCTGTTTTTCTCCTTTTAATCCTATAGAGTTTAATTTTACTAAAGTTTAACTTGTACCTTATCAAGCATGTTTTGAAAACTCAACCACAAAACAACTACTCTTAATCAACTCTAAACATTGCTTCAGAACTTATATTTTGCACATGTACAAAAGCCAAGAAAGCTTTGGAAATCAGTGTTTTATTCTGCAACATAATGTAAAAGTTAGAATTTGAAGTACCTATTTAATAATTCAATTTGGAAACATTTACTTTCAGTTTATTTGTTTTTTTCTGGTTGCACTGGGATAGAAACAGAATGCTAATGGAGAAAGAACAAGTACTTTCTTCAGAATGAGGAGGATAATTCTGGAACATAAATGATTGTCATTTCCTAGCAAATTACAATACAAATTGAAAGGGGAGTCATACCGGACTCAAAACATTAACTTTGGTCCTCTCTCTACAGATGCTGTCAGCATTGTTGAGTTTTTTCAACAGATGGTTTTTATTTCAGATCACCATCCATCTCAAATGTAAAGTTACCATAGTTCAACAGGACTTCTCTCTTCTAAGACAACTGGTGGTAGTTTAACTGGACGGTCATTCCACCTCGGGCGAGGGGCGAGGTTGAGAAGGAGTGATCTTCATAGTAACCTCAGCCAGTGTAAGAACTGAATGCACCATCGTGGCATCACTCGGCAGTGCAAACCTGCCAGGCAGCCAACTGAACTAAACTGACACCATCATCTCGAGTACAAAATATACACATATGTTTTCCACACATAGATTAGCAAACTAATATTTCTATTGATGCAAACAAATTTACTGAACATATTTCTATTCAATGAAAAATACACCGTTGGAAAATTATGAAAGAATAAATTCTTAATTATTTTAGAATGTCAAAATGTTTGAACTTTGCAAAACAATAAAAACAACCAAAAATTAACAATCTGCAAAATGATTAATGAATAAAACTCACTTATGCAAAAAGCATTCTTTGGCTAATTCAACTTGCAGTGTTTCACCTTTCCATTTTGATTTATTCAGCATCGAAATACCTAGAAATAATAAACATAAATAGAACTGTTGAACATAAGCACCTCAACAGAGTTAATAGTGGAGATAAAGCAGCTATCAAAAATAATCCTTCCCTTTCTGTTCCCCAAAGGATTTGATTAGCTTATTTTCTGATTGAATACTTCTCAGTCAATTAAAGAATATACATATAGACAGTCAGCTTACTCGCTTCAAGCACTTTGCTGTGCTCTAGACAGAAGTATTTGTCCATAGATTCATCCAATGCATTACAGAATTACAACACTATGGATTTTCAACAACTAGCCAGACGATGACCATGAAACCACTAACCTATCTGGTTCACTAATATTCTTTGAAGAAGGCATTCTGCCATCCTGACCTGATTTGGGTAGATGGGACTCCAGGCCCTCAGCAGGTGGTTGACTGTTAACTGCCCTATGGATAGTTAGAGTTGGGCAATAAATGCTGAGCTAGCCAGTGATACTCACCTCCCATGAATGAATTAAAAGCACAAATAAAAATTTTATTTGCAATTCAGTACCTTTTCTAAAATAGAACAGCCAACAAAAATTGTAACAGGAATCTGCATAAAGGATAAATTGTGTTAGAATACTGAAAGAAAATTGAACAAAATTGTATACTTACATCGCTTTAATTCTGTTTCTGAGGTATTGATATTAATGTAACCAAAGGTCTTTACAGGATTACCTTGAGAAAAGAATATAATCACTGTCATGATCAAAGGAATTATCGCATTACAGATTTTTTATGAAAAGACGACTCTTGACTCCGACTGGACACGAGCAGCTAAAAACCTTGGATGCTACAAATCATTTGCCTATACAGCTGCAAGCTCCGTATGGCATATAGAGAAAGACATGCTCAGATATGTAAACTTCTTGAAATACTTGAAGGACTTTACAAACAGACAAAAAAGGTACAAGAATTCAGCCTTCAGAGTGAAGCAACAGACAGGAGGAAGAAATTCAAAGGAACTCAGCATAATTGACTTTATTGTTTTGAGGACACCCTTGCTTCCTTAAAATTAGCATAGCACCATTTTGCTGCATGAAGAAACCTGGCTGCATAAGGTGCAGAACCCCAAGAAGGTGACACTAAGATCCATCTTAGTAGTAAACTAACCTTTAATTTGTTAAATAAGACTAGATTGCTGGTCTGCTTTAAGAGGAACTACTCCAAATTTAAAATGGGGCTGCACAAGCTATATTAATCTACATGGTGATCATGTCTTGTGGTTGTGACAATCACTGATTCAATGTGAGAATAAGATATGCTTTGAAATCTTAAAAAAAAGCCCTTTTACTTAAGAATCTGACAGATACATGAATAAACCATATGTTCTCATATAGGATGCTGAGGTTTGTACCTCACTGGGATTTGTATATCATTTTTGACTAAATTACCAATTTGGGAAATTCATTTGCGATCCAGTAAAGATGAAGGGGAAGAAAGGAAAAAAATAAAAATCTGTGAGGATGTAACCTGCAGTAAAAATCAACCAACATCCCAGATTCTGAGAATATATTCATTGCTGATCTCAAGGAAAATTGTCCACAAAGCCCGGGCTTTGCTTTTACCTACACAAATTTCAAATGAGCAACAGTCTTCTCCTGACCACAGCAGAAGAAACAAGGTAGATAAACTATTTCCACCGATTAGGATTCTAGAACTAAGGGGCATTGACTGAGAATTAGGGCCAGATTGTTCAAGAGAGATGTTCTGAAGCATTTTTACACTCAAAGGGTGGTGGATATTTGGAACTCTCTTCCACAAATGGCAGTGGGTGCAGGTTCAGTTGTTAGTTTTAAATCTGAGATAGATAAATGTTTGTTAAGCAAAATGATTGTAAGGAATATGGGTCAAATGCAGATATCTAGAGTTCGGCCACACAGCAGCCATTGAATGGTCGAACAGGCTCAAGGAGGTGAAGGGCCTAGTCATTCTCCTACATTCATAATAGAAATAATTGATATTGCACAAATCTAAAACTTGGTTCTAGAGCAAGAAAGCTTTTTGGGTCATATGTATGATTTATTGGACCATTAAAAACCCAGTTACATCACATGAATAAGACTTTCTCAGAGTTTGTTTTTTGAAAGCTATAGTATAACAAGAAAGGTTCACATCAATCCAGTGATGTTAAAGAATTGTCGCTTCAAGGACTTAACCTCACACTCTGTGGAACCACGATATCACTGACAGTCAGGATCTCAGTGTTTAAATTATGCAATTATGAATTAAGTGATTAGATAGTACAAGCTAACAGATCTGAAGTTCAATTACACTACACAAAACCGTGCACATTGACATTACCTTCATTGTCTTTCCTGAACACAAGATCCACATCTGTCACAGCACCAAATGTGCTAAATCTTTCTTTAATTTCATTTTCAGAGACCATGTGATGCAGTCCCCCAACAAATAAACGCTTCACATTTTTGGTTGTCTCCATTCTGTGGTTTGTTGTATCATTTTAATTGGAGAATGTCAAAAATAATCTAAGGAGCAACAAAATAACAAAATGAAGATGCATGTATGAATTCCACACAACTTTTATTGACAACAAAAATGTTAAAAAGAAAACAAGCACATTAAAAATAAAAACTTCTGTTTATCTCTATGCATTGCAAATATTCAGTTATAGAGTCAGTGTCATACAGCACGGAAACAGACCCTTCGGTCCAACTCGTCAGTGCTGACAGGACATCACAATCTGACCTAGTCTCCTTTGACAGCATTCAGCCCATATCCCTCTAAACCCTTCCTATTCATATACACATCCAGATGCTTTTTAAATGTTGTAATTGTACCCACCTCCACCACCTCCTCTGGCAGCTCATTCCATATACGCAGCATCCTCTGCATGAAAAGGTTATACTTTAGGTCCTTCCTAAATCTTCCCCTCCCGCCTTAAACCTATGCCCTCTAGTTTTGGGGTCCCCCACCCTTGGAAAAAGACCTTGGCTATTCACTCTATCCATGTCCCTCATGATTTTATAAACCTCTGTAAGGTCACCCCTCAGCCTTCGATGCTCCAGGGAAAGAAGCCCCAGCCTATTCAGCCTCTCCCTATAACCCACCACTCTGTCTACCATTTTTGCTTTTGCAATTTTAGACCATGAAGTGCATCATAAATATCATGGGACAAGGAAAAAGGAGTGAATAGCAACACTGTTGGATAAAGCTCCATAAATCAACAACAGTAAAGATATTTGAATAAGGAAATAAAAATTCCAATGGAACAATGTGCACTGATGTAGCTCTTTTACTAAAATGTTCTAAAGCTCGTTCAAAGGAAAGTTTTCAAAAAAAAAAGATACCTAGCTACATCGGGAGATATTAAGGTAGGTAGCCTAAAGTTTGATTAGATGGGCATACATTAAGGAAGGTGTTAAAAGAGAGGAGGCAGGCTGAAAGTAAGGTAACCCAGTTACAAAATTTCAAAGTTTAGAAATTAAGCAGGGGAAGACACAGCTTTAAAGAAAATGTGACATGTGCAACAGGCCATAATTGGAAGGTCACAGGGATCAAGGAGTGTTGCAGTACTGGAGGAAATTAGAGATAGAGAGGGGTGAGGATGAGAAGTTTAAAACTTGAATTATTGCCAGACTAGAAGCAACTGCAATACTGTTAACACATGATGAGGCAATGAGACTTTATGTGAATCAGGACACAGGCAACAAAATTCTGGATCTCCTGAAGATTATGTTGCTTGAAACTCAGTCAGGAAGGCACCAGAATCATCAAGCCTTGAGGTAACTAACAAATGGATAAGAGTTTCAGCTGCACGTGAGTGAAGGAAGAGACCAAGTTAAGCGATGATATTAAGGCAAAAACAGGCACTTTTGGTATTGGTGGTCAGAAGCTCATTTTTGTGTCATACACAACTGCAAATGGTGGACAGAGTTCGTAGCTAGAGAAAGGATTTTGTAGTGGGGATCAAATGCACTGGTTTGGTTTGGTTTGGTTTTTATTTGGAGGAAATTTTTGTTCATCCAGTACTGACTACGGGATAAGTCGCACCAGAGCCAGTTGAGAAAGGTCCAGACCACAACTGGTTAACAAGGTTAGATCACATGGAATACAGGAAGAACTAGCCATTTAGCTGGAAGGTAGGAGATAGAGGGTGGTGGTGAAGGTTTTCTTTTTGGATTGGAGACCTGTGCCACAGGGATCAGTGCTGGGTCCACTGATTTTTGTCATCTACACAAATGATTTGGATGTGAATCTAGGAGGTATGGTTAGTAAATTTGCAGATGACACCAAAATTAGTGGTGTTATGGACAGCAAAGAAGATTTCCTCAGAGTACAATGGGACCTTGATCAGATGGGCCAAGGAGCAGCAGATTAAGTTTAATCAAAATAAATGTGAGGTGCTGCATTTTAGTGATGCAAATCAGGACTTATACACATAATGGTAAAGACCTGGGGAGTGTTGCCAAACAAAGAGACCTTGGAGTACAGGTTCATAGTTCCTTGAAAATTGAGTTGCAGGTAGACAGGATAGTGAAGAAGGCATTTGGTACGCTTGCCTTTATCAGTCAGGGAATCGCGTATAGGAGTTAGGATGTCATGTTACTACTGTACAGGACTTTGGTTAGGCCACTTTTGGAATATTGCGTTCACTTCCAATCTCCTTGCTATAGGATGGATGTTGTTAAACTTGAAAGGGTTCAGAAAAGATTTACAAGGATGCTGCCAGGGTTGGAGGGTTTGAGCTGTAGGGAGAGGCTGAATAGGCTGTGGCTATTTTCTCTGGAGTGTCGTAGGCTGACGGGTGACCTCATAGAGATATATAAAATCATGAAGGGCAATGGATAGGGTGAATAGTCAAGGTCTTTTCTCCCAGGTAGGGGAGTCCAAAACTAGAGGGCATAGATTTAAGGTAAGAGGGTAAAGATTTAAAGGGACCCAAGGGGCAACTTTTTCATACAGAGGGTGGTGCGTGTATGGAATAAACTGCCAGAGGAAGTGGTGAAGACTGGTACAATTACAACATTTAAAAGGCATCTGGATGGGTAAATGAATAGGAATGGTTTGGAGGGATACGGGCCAAATGCTGGCAAATGAGGCTAGATTAATTTAGGATACCTGGTCAGCTTGGACTGAAGGGTCTGTTTCTATGCTTAAATATTCTATGATACTAGTGGGGAGGTATCACTGCTAAATGTTAGCATACATGTAAAACTTAATGATATCCCTTGAAGGGGAACAGGCAGAGCTATTCCCATCTCGCTGCCACCCTTTGTCCTTCTAACTGACAGTGTCCATGAGTTAAGGTGGTGCTGCCTAAGGAGCCTTGGTGACTTGCTGCAGATCAAAAAACAATGGAGTGGTAATAACTGGAGTTAAAATATAAAGCATTTCTCTGGAGGGTGTGTAAGTGTCAGAAAAAGAGCTGTGGTGAAAGCAGCATGAGATCCAGGATTCGAACTGGCTATGACAAAACAACAATATCAAAATTGGGGACCAGAGTACATGGTCTCAAAGTTTTGAACTCAATGTTGAGTCCAGAGGGCTGTAGAATGCTTAATCCAAAAATGAGGTTCTACTCCTTGAGCTCTGCACTATGCAGAAATCAAAATCACGAGCATGAGAGCAAGATGGTGAATTAAAATGGCATGCGACCAAAGCTCAGGGTCATGCTTATTGATGAAACAACGGTATTCCACATTCCTACCTGGACATTTTACTGTCTTTCGACTCTGAATAGGAGTCATATTTGACTCTATCAACTGTTTCTCTATTGATGCTGTCAGATGTAAAGACTTTTCAGCAATTCAGAAATGACTTTCAACATGCACAGTATTTTGTTATTAACATTTTTTTTTTAATTAGTGGTTTTGATTACTACTCTACATAGACTCAGTACTCAACATACTTAGCCAAACACTCCTATGTATCCTGAAATTTCACCGACGGCTGTTTTGATACCAATTATGTGATATGTTCACTGAACAATCTTATTTGTACTGCCCCGATTTCATTTTCGTACACCTTAAGTTTAATTTGTACGGCCTCATCGACCGCTTTAAAAACGTCCAATATAGATAACAGTACATAATTATCCAGCTCCTGAGATTCCCCTCCTGTCTCTGAAGGCAGTGAAAAAAATGACTGTTGGATACGAACATTTAAGTCACAAAGCAGGTTAGAAAACAAAAAGGTCATGCGTTCCTGATTTTGGTCACTAAGCGTATACTTCAACTATTTTTTAAACAAAAATCTAAAGAACTGCGAATGCTAGAAATCTGAAACAAAAACAGAAATTGCTGAAGAAACTCAACAGGTCTGACATCATCCGCGAAAGCAGAGTCGGCTTTTCGGGTGACTATTCTTCAGCTGTTTTTACTTCGATCATATGCTTTTATTCAAGCCCTTAAAAATTATTAAAACGGCTTTTACAAACGTAAAATCTTCAGCTCCTTTTAGGTGAGGGGAAATAAGAAAATTTATACATCATAAAATGGAATTTCCAGAATTTGTCACTCACGTTGCTGTAGTTCATGGTCCATCCAGGTTATTCTTCCTCACAGTCCTATTCAACCTCTATCTTCAGTTCCACCAGCAAAAAGAAGTAAAAAGGAAGGAGCGAGACTCAGGGCCGTGAAAATTATTCGGCGAAGAGTTAATCAGCGAGCGTGGTTCACATCATCATTAGTAACAGCACACACCATTATTTAAAAAAAACCGCAGACGTCTCTAAAAATTAACAAAAACACGCCATGTCAATGTGGAGTCATTTAATGGTGTCACGCCGAAAAGGAACGGAAATGCTGTATGCTAACAATGTTTCCGAGAAAAGGGGTGCAAGGATCAAACTAGAAATAATATCAACAGAACGTCGCTAGAATTTAAAATGTTCCCGGAAAACAAAATGAATGAGTGTGAATGTCTGAACGTGAAATGCTGTGATCTTACAGTTGTGGTGAGGTTTTGCAGTACAGCTGTTGATGTTGACGGGATACACCCCTGTTTGATTGGCGTTTACGCGAGTCCGCGCCTTCCTCTCGTGCTCTGGGTTTGAATAGTGTAGCGCGCGACTTCTGTTGGTGACTGCACCCTCTGGATTTCCACTTTGACCAAGGTTAAAAACTTTTCCTGACGTTTGGGGGGTGTGTTTTTTTTTAAATTCTACTTTAGAATTATAATTTTGTCACCTACTGTTTTATAGAATCTCGGGGTAGGAGTTCTTCGGCGGTCGGCGCAAAATTCGCTTTATTGGATCAACTGCCAGCAATGAATGCTGAACTCCATTGACTGCAATCATTGTTATTGCATGTTAGGCGCTATGTATGAAGGCCTGTGGATCCAAAACATCCATGTTTTGCTCCACCGTTTGAGACGAGGTTCTAGCCAAATTTGTGGTTGTTCTAAAACAATCCAGTGGTAGGACTGGGAGTTGTTAGTCTGTTAACGATGCGTATAAATGAAAAATTGTGCATCTGGGAATCAGAATCCGTGAGAAGTCGCACCGAAATTTTGTTGGAATGTGTAAAACGAAAAAGTATGGTTAAGGTAAACATTTGTCTTTTAGATGATGAGAAGGAGGTTTCATAATGGGAAGTAGGAAATAGCCACAGCATTGAACAGGTATTTTGTGTTGATCTTCACAGTGGAAGACACAAATAAAATGCCAGTAATTAATGACAAGGAAGCTATGGTAGGTGAAGACCTAGAAACGGTCATTCTTACAAAAGAGGTAGTGTTGGGCAAGCTAATGGGGCTAAAGATAGACAAGTCTCCTGGCCCGGATAGAATGCAGCCCAGAGTACTATAGAGATGGTTGGGGAAATAGCAAATGCACTTCTGGTAATTTCCCAAAATTTGCTGGATTGTGGGCTAGTTCCAGCAGATTGGAAAACAGCAAATGTGACGCCACTGTTTAAAAAAGGAGGTAGAGAAAAGGCTGGCAACTACAGGCCCATTACCTTAACTTCTGGAATAGAGAAAATACTTAAATCGATAACCAAGGCAGAAATAGTAAGACATCTGGATAGAAATTATCCCATCAGGCAGACGCAGTATAGGTTCATGAAAGACAGATAATGCTTAACTAATTTACTGGAATTCTTTAAGGATATTACGAGTGGCATGTACAACGGGGAACTGGGGAAGTGGTGTATCTCGAATTCCAGAAGGCTTTCGACAAGGCGCTGCACAAAAGGCTGCAGCGTAAGATAAAGGTGCACGGCATTATGGGTAATGCGTCAGCATGGATAGAAGATGGGTTAACTAACAGAAAACAAAGAATGGGATAAATAGGTGTTTTTCTGGCCGGTGATCAGTGACTAGTGGTGTGCCTAAGGGATCAGTATTGGGATCACAACTGTTTTCAATTTACGTGGATGATTTAGAGTCGGGGACCAAGTGTGGTGTGTCAAAGTTTGTAGATGACACTAAAATGAATGGTGGAGCAAAGTGTGCAGAGGACACAAAGTCTGCAGAGAGATGTAGATAGGTTAAGTGAGTGGGCAAGGGTCTGGCAGATGGAGTACAATATTGTAAATGTGAGGTCATTCATTTTTCTAGGAATAACAGCAAAATGGACTATTATTTAAATAGTGAAAATTGCAGCATACTGCTGTGGAGGGACCTTGGTGTCCTTGTGCATGAATCATAAAATGTTGGTTTTCAGGTGCAGCAGGTAATTAAGAAGGCAAATGGAATATTGTCCTTCACTGCTATAGGGATGGAGTTTAAAAATAGGGAGGTTATGCTGCAGCTGTATAGGGTGCTGTGAGGCCATACCTGGAATATTGTGTTCATTTTTAGTCTGCTTACTTGAGAAAGGATGTACTGGCACTGGAGAGGGTGCAGAGGATGTTCACCAGATTGATTCCGGAGTTGAGAGGGTTAGCTTATGAGGAAAGATGAGTATAGTCAGTCTGCTCATTTAGAATTTAGAAGAATGAGAGGAGATCTTATAGAAGCATGTAAAATTATGAAGGGAATAGATAAGATAGATGCTGGGAGGTTATTTCGACTGGTGAGTGAAATTCGAACTAGGCGGCGTAACCTCAAAATAAAGTGGAGCAGATTAAGGACTGAGTCGAGGAGGAACTTCTTCACCCAAAGGGTTGTGAATCTGTGGAATTCCCAGCTCAGTAAAGCAGTTGAGGCTACCTCGTTGAATGTTGTTTAGGCAAAGATAGATAGACTTTTGAACGGTAAAGGAATTAAGGGTTATGGAGAGCGGACAGGTAAGTGGAGCTGAGTCCGTGAAAAGATCAGCCATGGTCTTACTGAATGGCAGAGCAGGCTTGAGCAGCCAGATGGCCTACTCCTGCTCCTATTTCTTATGTTCTTATGAAAACCCCAATGTTCAAGAAAAAGACCCACTCGTATGATCATTCTCCAATTTTGGCTCCTTTAATGGGTAATGCATCATCGGTGAAGATTACTAGATCAAGTTATAGATATCATTAGAACTGCTAAATATTGCAGAAGGATTATGGTGCAGAAGGAGGTCAATCAGTCCATCAATGTCTGCATCAAGTTTCCACATGAACATCAGGACAAAGTGCCATTCTCCTGCCTTTTGCCCCCCCACACCCTTGCACATTATCCAATGCCATCTTGAATGTCTCAGCTAAACTTGCCTCATGTCACTTCAAGGCATTAGGCTGATATCAGGTATGAAGGGATTGCCTTATGAGGAGAGGTTGAGTGGATTCGGCCACAAGACCATAAGATATAGGAGCAGATTCATGGCCATCTTGAGGTGCAGTTGTAGTGTCCTTGCCCCTGGACCAGGGAGGCCCAGGTTCAAGTCTCACCTGCTCCAGTGGTGTGTAATAACATTTCTGAACAGGTTAATTAGAAAAATAGGTAGGAGCAGAATTAGGGTATTTGGCCAATGGAGCCTACTCTGCCATTTGATCATGGTTGATATGTTTGTCAACCCCATTCTCCTGCCTTCTCCCTGTAACCCTTGATCCTCTGACCCATCAAGGTCCAATCATTTTCTGTCTTAAATACAGTCAGTGATTTGGTCTCCACAGCTTTCTGCAGTAATGAGTTTCGCAGATTCACCACCCTCTAGCTGAAGAAATTCCTCCTCATTTCAGTTTGAAAAGGTCATCTCTTCACTTGGAGGCTGTACCATGTCCACTGTGTCCAGGTCTCTCAGTATTCTGTACGTTTCAATCAGATCCCCCTCATCCTTCTAACCTCCATTGAATACAGACCCAGTGTCCTCAACTGCTGTGCATAATACAAGCCTTTCATCGTGGGATGATTCTTGTAAACAATGATTGTTTACTGGATTTGGCCTTGTACTCATTAGAATTTAGAAGAATAAGGTGCAACTTTATTGAAACATACAGGATTCTTAGGAGACTTTATATAGTAGATGCGGAAAGGTTGTTTCCCCTTGTGGGAGAGTCTAAAACCAGAGAGTATAACCTCAGAGTGAGGGGTTTCACATTTAAGACAGAGATGAGAAGCAGTTTCTTCTCTCAGGATAGTCAGCCTGTACAATTCTTTATTGCAGAGGGCTGTTAAGACTGAGCCATTAAGTATATTCACAGTTAAGGTAGATTTTTAGTCAGTAAGAGAGATAAGGGTTATAGGGATAAGGTAGTGGAGTTGAGGATTAACAGATCAGCCATGATCTCATTGAATGGCAGAGCAGACTTGATGAGCTGAATGGTCCACTTCTACTCCTACATCTTATGGTCAGTGCATTCCTGCCAGCACTGCTCATTGTGTGGATTAGTTTTATTCTCATATCGCATTTGCTTCGTTTCCAAATCACTTTAAATCTGTGCCCTCTCATTCTTGATCCTTTTAGCAGTGGTAACAGTTTTTCCCTACCTACTCTATTTAGCCCCCAAAACATAAGTTAATCTAGAAAAAGGATGATGAGACTAAATGCTGATAAGATCACAGCTCTTACAAAGCACCTCTACTCTGTCACAAGTGTTAATATGCATCTCACTGCCTCAACCCCCACTGGAAGAGGTTGCTGCTTGAGAGAGGTCAATTGGTTTTAGCACTGCGAGAGCAAAGCAGACTGGGTTTTAACAACTAGAAGACTTTGCTTCTTGCAGGGAAATCATGATATTTGATAAGATTGCACGATCTTCAAAAGGGTGACAGAGCTCTGGAACATTTAGCCTGATTTAATGCTGGGGGAATGTGACTATCCAGGTTTTATTGTATAATGTATCAAGTGAAGTTGGGGAATATATCTCCATGTTTGGTAGCATTGGGAGACATTGGTCCTGGGTTCTGACAGCACATGACAAGGAATTGTCGTTTCCCTCTTTGTGAGCCCACCAGTACTTTGCAAACTAATACTTTAAGATCTCAGCTCTTGAGCTGAGAATCTTTTACCAGTGTTATCTTCCTACCCACTGCTTTCGATCGCAACTCTTACTCTGCTGTTTTATTAATGGCAGGAATGTGAGAGCTGTGAGTTTTGGTGAACATAATGGGGACTTTGAGAGTGTAGTTAGCAAGACAAATGAGGCTTTGAGCTTCACAAATAAATGTATTGAGAAGTAAAGCAAAGTTATGCTGAGCCTTTATGTTCGGCCACAGTTCTGGTCACCACACTTTAGGAAGGATGTGAGGGTGCAGAAGGAATTTACCAAATTATTTTCAGATATGAGATTTTAGATTCAAGGTGAAATTGGAGAAACACAAGAAAGGAGCAGAAGTAGGTCATTTGACATCTCAAGTTTGCCTCGCCATTCAGTCTGATCATGGCTGATCATTGAGCTCAATATCCTCATCCTGCCCTCCTCCCATATCACTTGATCCCGTTAGCCATAAGAGCTGTCTCTACCCCCTTGTTGAAAACACATCATGTTTGGCCTTGCCCTTTTTCTGTGGTAGTGAATACCAAGGTTCACCATGCTGGATGAAGAAATTTCTCCTCTCAATCCTAAAACGTTTACCCCTT